AATTTAACCTCACTATTCAAATTCTTAAATAAATGACTAATTTAGGGGATTGGTGGGATAGGACCTTCTATCTTTCTGTGAAATCTGCCTAAATAATGTTTTTTTTTTTTAAATTTGTTTCATACGTGATAATACTAACTCTCAATAAAGTTTAGTCGAACCAATTATTTGTAAAGTAATTTTTATAATCCATGTAATACTGTTTATAATCCTTAATTTTACCAAAATTTTCCCCTTGAATTAATTGAAGTACTAGATTTTAAAAGCAATCTAGTATTCTAGCACATTATTGATATTATTTTTGTTCATATGTATTATAAAATATGTGTATCAAATTATTGCATACATTAAGGATAATCAAAGGAAAGAAATTTAAACATGAGTCAAGGTAATGGTCAAATTTAATCAAGTAATCGGTTTTTGAATGAGTTAAGGTAAAAATTAATATTTTTTAATTAATTTTCCGTTAGCTTTTTGCATTTATAAAAATTTAGAAAAGCTTGCAGTTTCGAAATCAATCAGAAAAATAAAATTTTTGATTTATATAGGAATTTGTTTTTCTATTACTCGTAAATCTACTGAAATTTGATTCGTATACTTTGTTCCCAGATTTAAAAAGATTTCGGCAATTGATCGAAAATTTTCGTTGTCAATCAATCAAAGTTGTATGAGAAATTTCAATAACCGGATTTATTATTAAATTCTATTGGTAATATGTAATGATTTATTTGTACAATTAATTTTAGCTCGAAAAACTCCTTGCATAGCTAATAATTCCATAATTTTGAAAGCTTTACTAGAAAATCTGTATGAATCTCCCCTTGAAGCAATATTTGAATTCATTCCATTGATCTTAAATCTTAAATTATTGTGCGAACAATTGAGAAAATATTCAAAACCTATAAGCTTGTTAACGCAATTTGACAATAGTACAGTACTCATGTAGCATCATTTCTTTTAAAAATGAATTCGTAACTTGAAATTAAATATTCTAATTACCTAATCCGAATTCTGAACTTTTAAGAGGTTACTGTAATTTATTTGTGAACCTACATTCTAACAAAAATTTTCAGTCGATAAAATCCTTATGAATTGTGTTAATAAACAGAAATCCTTAAAGGCAAGATTTAAAACTCTTTAACATACGCGGGTCTATTTTGAATTATGTCACAAACCATTTCTTTGTACGTGATGGTAAATAATTTGTTGCAACAAACAAGTTTATAATGATTTTTCTTGATACGCATATAAAATTGGGCGTATGTAATAATTTCAAATGAAAATGGTTTAATTTTTAAATAACGTCTTATTCTTAAGAGTCTGTAGTATATAACAAAAACCGACTATTGCATACAGAATACCCTTATGAATATTCTTCAATACTTATTTGTAATATGGCTGACATACCCAAATTTAGTTTAATTCCAAATATTTTATTACTTTAAATCTTGTTAACCCTGCTTTAAAGAATTTTTTTATAATATACTTTATATATCAACTTTTAATGCGGTGCCTACACACATATATGTATGTATATAAGTCCAAAAATCCATACACAAAATAATTTTTATTTATGTATGCATATTAATCAAATATAAATTAAATATACGCTCATAAAAAACTTGTATAACAAAATGTCCTTTCAACAAATAAAAAAAAAAAATGATTGTGTTCCTTTTTAAGAAAATAAAAGAAAAATCCAGTCTTGAGAAGACTTTTTCTTTTCATTTTTGTTTTTGTGTGTGCGTTGCTTCTTTTCTTTTCATTATTTTTGATTAAAAAGGTGTTTTATTGATTTAAATATAATTTTATATAAGTGTACGCTTGTATGCTTTAAAACTTGACATTTACGCCCCTTTTATTTTTTTGTTTCTTATATTTTTTCATTTTTCTTTTGCCGTTGATAAGGACCTTAATTTATTTGCTCTTATTAGAGCCATATAAATTAATACATTCTGCAGGGTATAATAAATCTTGTCCGTCATTTGTAACATTTTATAAAAGCTAGTAATATTAATTCTTGAACGATTTTTGTGTGAGTGTATGATGTCAAAATTAATTATTATGCGTATTACTTACATAATAGTTTGTAATATTCACATGAAATTTTATAAAAAAATTTTTGAGAAAACATTATTTGCCGAAGACAGTGACTATAATTATTAATATGGTACAAGTAAAGGAAATATTAGGAGTACAGAAGAAACACACACGTATATTTTAATAGTACAAATTCGCAAGCAGATTCGTATTTATTATATTCTTGTCCGACTACCAGACAATGGTACTTAACTATTGAACTTACAATAAGTTTGCATTATTTTGAACCGTTAAATAGAAAAATCATTCAATAAATTCCTTGTTGTAGTAGAGGCATTTATAAATGACAATCGGTAAAATTAATTTCATCAATTCTGTGAATTGTGATACTCGTTCAAATTATTATTTATTCAACATAAGCTATGTGAAATATTTAAGATAATTTTAGCAAATTTGGAAGGTGCACTACAAATGCAACTATTGAATTTGCAAAAACAATTTGAATATTTAAGAAGATCCAAGAAGCAGTTGTTGGAAGAAAAAAAAGGAAATGGTCATAGGAAATAACAACTTAGAAAATTTATTAAACATATTTTTATGGTGGGGTCCAACTAACAAAATTAAAAAACCCTTTAAAAAGGTTAACAGGGATATCTGAACCAATAAATGTGAATAAAAAATGCGAAAAGTTTGCAAATAAATATAAAATTGTTATTATTTCATTTATTGTATATTCAACTAACCTAATTGAAAACAGATGAAGTGACAAAAAACTGTTCTTTCAACAAGCATAACATGAATTACATCACGTCAAATATGATTGCTGGTTATTAAATATTTATTTAGAGTGACGCTTACCAAAAGAACAATAAAAACCCCAACGAAATATAGGAGAATTGTTGCATGACATAACAGATAGAACTATGCGTCAGTCATTTGGTATTTGTATGTGAAACTTTAGTATTGTATGTAGCCTCAATAGTTTCGGATGTATGATTACATATTTTTTGATGTCTTGTCTAAAATAAAAACTGTGAGCTAAATTGTCCTATGTCGTTTACTATTAGAAAACCAGTTGTTAAAAATTAGTGTAGTAATTTGATTTACTATTTTAATTAGCGCTTCTTCTTCGCAAAAATTCTTCGTTTTTCCTAGCCTCATTGATACAATTATTATAAGACATTGTTTAAAGTTGAGTATCCCGTAGTAGTCAATTATAACTCCATTAATATTTTCCTTGCTTTCTTTTGTATTTATCATTATTATTACTATTATTTTGATTGGGGATTCAACGATTTTAACATTTGTTGAATATTAAATGTAATGATATATTATGTATGTAGATTGTTACATTGACTTACAACGAAAAATATAAATGGATGTCTTGTTGAAATGGAGTATAAAAAAAAAGCTAAAATAATAACAATAATAGGAGTGCAGTTAGAGAATGAGTATAAAAAAGAATAACGTACTAAAGAAAAAAAAAAGGATAAATCGTAGACACACAAATACAAACGTAAAAAACTGATATTTTTTTTTGATCTGATTTGATTTAGTATACAAGGATAAAATGAAATATTTTTGAATTTATTTAAAACGCAAAATATATGTGATTGTATGTACATTGTATGTAAAAATGTTCAAATGTTGATTTATTTATGTTTCAATTTTTATAATTTATGGATTTCAAAAGGATATTAAGAAGAAAATTTTTATCCTTTTTTATTCGTGTATTTTTTTTTTTAATAGAAAATCAAATTGAAAAATTTTGATTTTTATTTTCCAGAAGATTTATAGAAAATTGTGTAGGTATTTAAAATAATAGCAATTGTAAAATATCTTGACGTTACACAATCGAAAAATATTCTCGGTTAAATTCAGTATTCAAACCACAAGATGTGTGTTAAACTTCAACAATGACATAGCTATTAACAAGTGTTTTCGCTTGTTCATTCCAATGACGGAATATTAAGAATGTAATGAAAAGCAATGCCATAGCTTCACTTGACATTTTCAAGAAATATTTGGAAAGGAATAAAAGAACATAGAAATTAAAATAAAAAATTTTAATATTTCGTCAGCTAAAACGAAAAACTTTGATGTAATAAACAAGAATAAATGTAATAAACGAGAATAATGTCATGGAATTCACAAAATTCAAGACGATATTTGCCTGTTCTTGCCCATTTTTCAAAATTTATAATTTGATATTTATTTGATGATAGTATTATATCGAGTTTAAAACCATCTATAGTTTCGAAATTAGAAAACTATTGATAGTATAGATAGTGCTATCGTTAGTTTTCCACCTCTACTTTTCCCACATAATTCAGAACTCTGTTAAATTAACAAGTAAGTCAGTGCTACTTGAGTTCTTCTTGTTGATATTTTAACATTTTTAAGCGTCTGCCAAAATTTCTTTCACAGTACTCTTCGGTCTATAAATTTGAAGATTAATTAAAATATCATTGTACTTTCAGTTAACTACGATTGCATATCGTTAACTGAAAGTACAAGATTATATTCGCATTTCTTCTAATTTTCTTATCTCCTACTAGTGCGAGAAAATATCAGAAATTAGACTCACTCACTCATTCTCCTGATGTGAGACTCACTCTCACATCAGGTGAGTAAGTCTCAAACGTGTGTTGTAGGGCATTTCCCGCGCTCATAGTGGTGGCACAATAGATTCCTCATACGTGATCACGGTGCACTGTTATCCCCATTTTACAAATCTACAATCTATAAGGTTATCAATTTTTTTATTTTTACACACAGAATTATATGACAACTTCCACATAATTCCACATTTCGCCTATTCATGAAAATTTTAACTTTCTATTTTCGATTTTAAAATTTTATAACTTTTGACTTCAGACTATTATAGCAATCGAATTATTTCTAATTTAAATACATTTCTTTTATCATAATAGCTACATTATTACAAATATTTTACTTACCTTTACTTGAGATTCTGTCATTCCTAAGGCGTATGCTAATTTAGCACGTTCTGGACCAGCCAGATATTTGGTTTGTTCAAATGTTTTTTCTAATGCAAAAATTTGCTGTCCACTAAATGTTGGTCTCGTATGCTTTTTTTTACCATCTTTATCAGAATTATGATGATGAGATTGTGATAAATTAGCTGACACTGTAAAAAAAAAAACAGTAAAAAAGTAAAAATCAAATAAAATTCAATTCATGGTCATTAGATTACGCAGGAAAAATCCATAAATTCAATAAAAGATAGAATTATAATCCATAAATGAAAAAAATGGATTTATGAAAAAAAAAATATTTATTAATAATGTTAAAATGAGTATGGAAGCGTTAAAAGGTTGGATTTTTAACGCAATTTTCATGCAGACAAACAAATTTCTTTTTTGTGTGTTTTATTATATGGGCACAATGTAAATAAAGATTGCCATTTAAATTATTAGATTTTTGGGGGAGAACACAAAAAAGAAAAACAAATCGTAAAAGTCGAAAGAATTTGCAAAAAAAAATCCTCGTTTTTGTAATAAAATTCCAACTAGAAGAGTGGGAGAGAACAAGTAAAGAATAGTTAAATAAAAATGTTAGAGATGTAAGCGAATTTTATTTCTAAATCCAGATTGATAAATCTTATAATATTTCTAAGTCGATGTTGGGTAGCACTTTTCAAAACAATTTCTTTAATGACTTTCCAGTTTAACTGGAAAATAAAAGTTCTCAATTTTCGCTTTTAATATTTTTAAAATTTCCATACAATTATTCATCTACCTTGTTTCAGATGGATAAAATGATAAAAGCCTGAATAAAACCTGGAAAAAATTTTTCAATGTTTGACCAACATTATTTCAAGTTTTATTGAGAGGATTAATTGAAAATATATGCGATTAGTGAACGGCTTTCTTTTGGGTCACAAACCGTAGATGCTTTTAATAATTGCAATATCAAAAAGGGAGCATTATAATATTAAATTTTAATAATCAAGTCAATTTGTAATTATTTTTTAAATTACACAATGTATGTTTCGAATCACGGGATTTATTGTAATAAAATTTGAGACAAATAAATCGTATTCGATCTGAAAAATCATAAATTTCCTAAATTCCTGGAACAATAATTCCATAGTAAGTTTATTAATGTTAATAAACATCCGATTTGTATAAATATTATAGAAATTATAAAATATTAATAAAACAATATTTTTCATATTTTAATTAAATTAATGAAAACCTGAAGTAGAATTGAACGATTTCAGTAAAATTATTAAAATCTTACTTTTAAGTTTTTTATAATTAAATAATACCCTTCCTGTCAGCCTTCTTAAAGAATAAATGAGGCAAATTTGATGTTAGGGTTTGATATAAATTTGATTTTGAATCAAGTCGTTTTTCGAGCTCCTCTTCTTCAAAACTCCTTTAATGTTTAAAAAATCTTTTCAAAACAAACCATTTTCAAAACCTCTGCTCTAGCTTCTAAAATCATTAATATTCACATATCTAAATTCTTTTATAATCATGGATCTGATTATAACTTAAAATCTGGAACTCTCTGTACACAAAACGTTTCCAAAATTTATACTTCTGTTAAAAAAACACGAAACATAAAAAAAATTATTGCGTTAAAATAATATTATTTTTTTTTTTGCGTTGTTTTATCCTTTTATAATATATTTGGGTTAAAATGATTCCCGTGAGGCACATGATATTCAGTCCTTTTCCCCCTCTCAACTAAAATATTATTATATGGCAAAACAAAATATCAGACATTAAAAAAAAAAAAACAAAACATGATTCATAATTGAATTTTCCATCTATCGTCATAATTTTATAACCAAAAAAAAAAAAAAACAAGAGCAAATTTAAATGGTAGCATCTTTAAAAAAAAAAAAAAATTCAGTAGCGACGCGGTTCTATTTTTTTCGTTTTTAATATTATACACGTATATAAAAAGTTTTATAGTGTTAGGAAACAGAATGATGATAATGATGATAATTTTTTGATTAATCATCGTATAACTATAACAATTTTTTTTTTAATAATTTTATGAAATCATTTCAATTAGAGTGTTTTTAGCGTTTTGTACATAACATAATACAAGCAGCAGTATCCTTTAATATAATATTAAAAACGGAGAGGGTTCACATTGTTTTTGAAGAATAAAGAAAATAAAATATTAAAAAAATTGTTTGTTTGCAGATAAAATCAAAGATATTTGTTATAATGGTGTAAAATCCTCGTATATCCTGGTGAAGAGGGTTTATTACATTATTTAAAAGTATAAAAGTCCATTATATTTTATCCCTTTTCATAATATTTTTCTAAAAGTCATCTCATCTGGATCTTATATAATTTTTTTATACGAGTATACAAACATTAATGCTGTATAAATAAGTAGATACGACAAGGATAATAAACAGTAGAATAATGTAATGAAAAGAGAAAAAAATATGAAAAAGGAAAAATCAATTGATTCTTTTGTTGCATTTTTGCAGTATCTATATGAAAATCTAGAAAAATTCGATGCAATTGAGACGGGACCGACAAATTTTATATTTAGTTTTGTTTTTTTTATTATTATTGCATATATTTTTTAATATTTTTTTCCCAATATATTACAGTACATTCATTTATTGCAACAATTGGAATAAAATAATTTGAATGCAATTTGTCAAATTTCAAAAAAAAATATTTACTGCGCATGAAACAGAATTACGTCATGATAAAATGACTTTTGCCATATAACAGAACGGAAAGCCTTTCTCACATGAAATTGTTGTGATTAAATTAAATTTTATTGAGAAAGAAAATCATTTCAGTTTTTCTAATTTTAATAAGAGAATTCAAATTAAATATTACTCTCCCACTGTCCTGCAATGAAAAAAAAAATCTCAATATCTTGATCTTAAAAATCAAGAAAAAATTTTGGTTTAAACTGAAACTTATTCTTTTCATTTCAAGCCTTTATAATATGGCAAAATCCTTTTTCAACTACTCTGACGCGCTTAATATAATATTAACATCTAATATTTTATATCCTTTAAGAACTTTAATTGTATTGAGTAAAGCGAAAATATTTTTGTAGCTTAAATTCTTAAACACTTTCTTTTCATAATTAAAAATTTTTCATGGTATGAAAAATTCACGGTCTTACACACTCTTATGTTAGTCAACTTTATTTTTTAAATATAATTTCTATGCAAACTTTAATTTTTTTAAACAACAATTTCTTTTTTTTGTTTTTGATCTCTAAATACGAGTATTACAAATTTTTTGCAATAACTTTGTTCAAAATCTGTTTTTCAAAAAAAAAAACTTTTGTACATGATTGCTTTTATTGTTTTTATCAGTTTTCCAAAAAATTTTGAAAAAAAGAGCTTATTAGTTTCACTCTGTCCGTTCGTCCGTCTGTCTGTCTGTGTGTCTGTTTACAAAACTTCTACACCAAATTTTTGATGTCGGTTTCTCCTAAACCCCAAGTTTTAAACGTCTAAAATTTCAACAGCTATCAGACATTAATAATTAGTTTATTTCGTTAGAAGAAAATTTTTTTCCACCTCCACCCCCTCTCAAGCTATCGCCTCACGAAATTTGTAAAATTTAAATATTTGGCACCTTATATTGACAAAAGCGCAAGCTTTTTCAAATTTCTATAAACGCAAAAAGCTAACGATGAATTCTATGACATTAAAAAATATAATTATTTTTCTTAACTCACACAATTAACTCTTAAAATCGAGCATTATACTAACCCCTCTTAAAATTTATTTTTTTTTATTTCAAAGACTGCATAAATCGCTCATCCAAAATATATGCAATTCTAGAAATAGTTTCGTATATGAATGAAAATGATTTTAATAGGGAGGTAGCTGTACATAGATTGTTTTTCAAAGCAGTATTTTCACTTGTTGAAGGGAAAAGTGCTACAATACAAACCATTGGTTTGACCCAATTTTATTTGAAATTCTTTAATACTAATTATTTTTTATACATTAAATACCAGTATTATATTAAACATTTCTGTGTCTTTGTGTGTGTATAATTTTAAATAGCAGACTAAGCACATTATATTGTGTAGATTTCTTTTTCCTTAAACAATAATAGAATACAATTATTGTTATTGTTGTTGTATATTCAAAGATTTTATAATATTAAAAAGTAAATATCCAATAAAATGTTATTATTAAAATCAAAATAAGAGACAAAGGAATTTTTTTATTTCAAATTCCCCAATATTATATATATAGCGTAACGGGTACAACTATTAACACTCTGAAAATTTAGTACAATTATTGACACCCAAATTGCTATAGCGCTTTTCGAGTACTTATAAATTTTAAATACAAAAATTAATTATGGATTCTAATTATTTGACATTTCACTCATTCTTTGTTAATTATATAATAAATTTAAATTAATTGGTAGGCTTTTAATTTTAAAAAATAAAAAATGAATATTACAGAATTTATTTAAAGCGAACATGTAAATTTAGAAATTTTTAAGGATGCTGCGATATTTTTAATCTAATTGTTGAACTTTCTTAATAAATTTAAATCTAATATTATAGTTAGAAGTTGTTTGATCCAATAGTGGTAATAATAACAAAACAGCTGTTGGGTCAGCGCATATACAATTGGCTAAGTGAAAATGCAGTTTTTCCTTTTCTAGATTGAGATTTGGGAAACCTGGGACCAAATCTTAAATAATATGAAGATTATTGAACTAAATGTAAAAGACAAAACTTAAACTGTATACCTAAAACTAAATCTTCTATCTATTTGCCTCAGCTGTATGAAAGGCTAAAAACGTAGGAATTTGTTTTCAAATATGATTATTTTTCATTTTCTCATAAAAATATGTCAATAACGGTACATTTATACCATGCCCATAACTATATTTGGCTGTCAATAATTGAGCCATGTCAATAATTGTGCCAGGGTATCAACAATAGTACTATTTGGTATTCACGCAAAAAAATTTAATTTTTAATATTTCTATTTAACATTTGATAAATTTTAGTATACGATTATGAAAGAGAAGTATTCAATTTTATATTTTCCCGATGCTCAAATTTTTATAATTTTGTATAGAAAAATTTTATGAAAAATATCGCTTAAGAGTGTCAATTATTGTACCCGGTACGATATGTATAAAAAAATTTTTC